TTGGCCGGTTATGCAAGCCCGTTTCGATCGCACTCCGAATGGGGTTTCGTTTGCCATGCAGAACTTGTTTACCGCTTGTTTCATTGTTTGTAATTAGTGAGCTGTAAAATGGAGTTCACACAGCGGCGTCCCTGAAGGCGACCATGAGACTGGAACGAGAGAGAGAGAGAGAGAGAGAGAGAGAGAGGGAGAGGCATCTCCATCGCTAGATTAAACTCTCCTGTGTCAAAGGCGATCAGCAATAATGAAGAGAGATGCTGTGCTGTGAATCACCTTAAAAAGACATTAGAGCCGGACTCAGTGTATCGTCTGAAGCCTTTTGGCGGTCCGTTGCAGTCGAGATGTCCCCTCATTCCATTTATTCCCTGCCTCATGCAGCGAGGGTGACGTCTCTATCTCTGTAATGTCTGCTTTGATCATTAAGCTCTCTATTTAAAATGTACCTTAAGGCCAATTCTAATGAGTCGTTTAAATCGACTGTTCTGCTTCAACTTTGTTCTATCAAAAAAATAAATAAAGAAATAAATAAATAAATCCCATCCTGTGTAAAATTGACCATAGATAATGGAAACTGCTGCTGCGATACTTCCACTGAGTTATTCCTGGAGCTGTTACAGTCATTCTTATTATTTATTTCAGTTTCATTTTTGAAATTGAAATGTGTTGCATTTGGCTCCTGATCTAAGACAGACTCTGTTTGATATTATAATGAAAATTATGATGAAAATCTCTATGCGTTCACCACACTCAGTACCAGAAACACCTACCTTGTAATTTCACTCACTGTCCATTTTGAGTGTTTTTCCACTGCACAAGGATCCTCTGGCCTGGTTCTCTGGAAAAGAACTGTGCTTCTTCCATTGACTGTCGGTTCAGTACTAAAAGGCCCTATTTTATGTTTTTTGGTAACACTTGCAGCTAACATCAACGTCAATTTAATGAAGTGTCATCACCAAACACTAATAACTGGCAAATAAGCGCACCAGTAAACTAGAATGATGTGTCGTTTGCTGTGTTTAGAGTTGTTAATGTAGAGTTCACTTAGTCGGCATAACATAGTTATAAGATTATGCTTCTCAATGCAACTCTGTTTTATGTTAGCACTCACAGAATGACTGTTTTTGTAGTAAAAAATATAGGATTTGCTCATTTTTACACAGGGTTCTGTGTAATTGTAGATGTTTTGTGAGTGTGTGCGTGCAGAGCAGTGTAGTACATTTCTATCTATCTATCTATCTATCTATCTATCTATCTATCTACCTACCTACCTACCTATCCATCCATCATATCAGTTCCATCTCTCTCTCAAGAAGGTTAAAAATGAACTATTTTTTACATTGTACAGTTACAGACTGTAGCTCATCTGTCGTCAGCCGCCCTCCACCCCCCAATAATATCTGTCTGCAGAGCTGCAGAGCCACAGTTTCACTCCAGCAGGTTAAAGCCAGTGGCGTTCAGCGCCTGCGCCGAGTGGTTTTGTAGTGAACTTTAGGGTAATCAACATTACAGTTGTTTTATGTGGATTTCCAATAAATCTGCTTTGGGCTGACATTATATTTTAAGCTTTAGGCTAAAACAAACTTTGGTTTGAAACCGTGTAGAGATTCATGGGGTACATATTACACAAACTACAGCTGATGTGGTCTGGGTAGTCTAATGGGTTATGTAGACATATAGCTCAGTCAACTTACCCTTAATACAGGGGCTGTATGTGTACACTGACATTACATGTACAGGAATAACACTTTACCTTATGCAGGATTAAACTGAGCACAATGTTAAGCTTTAGGCTAAACAAACTTTAGTTTTTGAACGTATCCCTGCTGTCCTACTGCGCATGAGTTCCACTGGCCTGAAAATGCTGGAGTGAAACTGAGGGGGTAAATCTGCGGTCAGACCCTTCTCCCTCTACTCAGTTCATCATTGGTCAGTTCCTGATATTATTTGGATGGTGGAACATTCTCAATACAGCAGTGATGTTGACTTGGTAGTGTGCTGGTACAAGTGTATCAGTAGTATTGCTGGAGTTTTTGCACCGGTCAGTGAGAATGGTCTACCACCTACATATATCCAGCCAAGAGTGGCTGTGCGGACGGAAACTGACCATATATTCTCCAACATTACACCAACGAAGATCTACAGGGTAGATGTTTCCAATGAAGTGGTTGGCAAGTGTCATTCAGATACTTTGTAGTACTTTATTTAGTACTTAAAAACAACGCTCACCTCACACGTTACCCTGCGCATGCACCTGCTTATTTCAGTCATATTTTAATCTGATACCACAGTAGCACAAACTCGTGTGCTAGTTCGCTGTAGCTCCTCTCTCTCTGTCTCCTGCACGTTCGCTGTCTCCCCCAGAGGCAGTCGGCATGTGTGTTGCCCACAGCGTTTGTTTAAGGGGGTGTGAAGTGTGTGGGCGTCAGACGAAGCCATGCACCACCCTGCTAGAGCTTTGATGTAGGTCTAATAAAGATCCTACAGTATAGAGCACCAAAAATACCAGATTCAGCTGATTAATTTGCTTTTACTGTGGTTTATGTAAAGATGGATGGCATGGCAAAATATAACATCACAATACATGTTGGACAAAAATGCTTCAGCAGAGCAGCAGTGCTATTAAAGCTGAGTACATTGAGGTACTTTGGTTCTCTGTAATTGCTCTAAATCTGTCTTATGGTACGTGATCTTGATGATGTGTTGGTTCAGTGTTCTAGAAGTACTGATGATGCCCATTGTATGCTCAGAAAAGTGTAACAGGATGTAGTTTATGATGATAACAACCACATAAATATCACATTATATTTTTCACCCAGTAGCATAATTTGGTTTGACCTCTTAGGGGGTTTTCTGTGTTGAGGTCCCTCCCTAAAAATGTGCTTGTTAACAACTAACATTATGCTAATTTCTGCTTGTTAGCAACTATCTAGCTTGAAAACTTGAAAAAAGTGGCATTCAGGTAATACATTCTTAAATTTGTATACGTGTTAAAGACCAGATGTTACAGCCTGTCTCTGAAGGAGCCGACTAGCTTGTTAGCTATCTGCTGTGTTGTTCAGCCCACACTAAGCTACAGAGAGCCTGTTAACAGCATTCAGGAGTCACTAATCTTGTTTTTTTTTAAAAAAAAAGGTCTTTTGAGAAATCAGCGAATAAAAACATTTACACATATATAATAATATAATAGATCATGAGATGGAGTGTGTTGTCCCAAATAACATTGATTTGGTCACAGCAAGTGCAGTAAATCATAATAGACAGCGAAGCGAAGACTAAGATCACTATGTGCAGTGCCAAGCGCCAGCTGGAGTGCGTGAAAGGCGCCGCCACTGGACTCTGGAGCAGTGGAAACGTTCTTTGGAGTGATGAATCACGCTTCAATATGTGGCAGCCTGATGGACAAATCTAGGTTTGTTGGATGCAAATAGAGCGCTACATACTGGAATAGTGTCAGCAGTAAAGTTTGGTCTGGGTTTGGGCGAGGCCCTTAAGTTCCATCCATCCATCCATCCATCCATCATCTAAACCGCTTATCCTTCTGGGTCGCGGTGGGGTGCTGGAGCCTATCCCAGCTGTCATTGGGCGGAAGGCAGGATACACCCTGGACAGGTCGCCAGTCCATCGCAGGGCAGACAGACAGACATACACATTCACTCACACACTCACACCTAGGGGCAGTTTAGCACGTCCAATTGGCCTGACTGCATGTTTTTGGACTGTGGGAGGAAACCGGAGTACCCGGAGGAAACCCACGCAGACACGGGGAGAACAGGAATGACCCTGGTCGCCCGGCCGGGAATCGAACCCAAGCCATTCTTGCTGTGAGGCGACAGCGCTACCCACTGCGCCACCGTGCCACCCTCTTAAGTTCCAGTGAAGTATTATAAATAATAATAATACTACAGCAACAACAATTGTGTGCTATAACTTTGTGGCAACAGTTTAGGGATGACCATGCTTTTGTGCACCAAGCGAGCTCCATAAAGACATGGTTTGAGGAGTTTGGTGTGGAGGAGCTCCAGTGGCCTGCACAGAGCCCTGACCTCAACCCCACTGAACACCTTTGGGATGAATTGAAATGTCGATTGTGAGCCAGGCCCTCTTGTCCAACATTAATGCCTGACCTCACAAATGCTCTTTTGACAAATGGGCACTTGTAGAAAGTCTTACCAGAAGAGTGGAGGCTGTTTTAGCCACAAGGGAGGGGCCAACTCCATATTCATGGCTATAGTTTTGGAGTGGGATGTCCAACAAGCTCATATAGGTCTAATGATCAGGTGTCCACATACTATTGGCCACATAATGTATTTATTAAGTTTTATTTAAATCCAGTAATGTTCACCCCTGCTGGACGCACCGCGTCAGGCAGTGTCGAAAAATTTGAAATCATTGTTTTTAATGGAGGCACGCCCACCGGCACCGACACTCCGTGTTGATGTACGCCAGTGTTCCATGACTCTGAGGACTGTTCAGTTTCTCAGTGCGTCACAACGGGCCACTCAGCATTTTGCCATTACTACATTAAATTAAAGCAATATTGAGACAATAGAAAGCCACATTTGAAATTTGAAGGGCAGCCAGTCTTTTAGAGAAACAAATGCTAATGCTAAGCTCACGTTAGTGTCCTGGCCTTTTTCAGCTTGTACCTTTCAGCTCAAAACCAGCCAGTTTGTGAAGAGGTAGTAAACTGATGACAAGTGTGATGATATTTTTTTCAGTTTATACGAGTAGAGTGTAAAAATGTACTTTAACCTGGCTTTTATCGGCTCTCCCTGCTGGTATTCTAGCAACGCTCTGCTATGTGATGCTACTCGATGCTGCGCTATGATTTGCGGCATGTCAGGTGTGCGATGGCCTTTAGCTTGCCATCTCACTCTGCGTGTTGAAATATTATAGCCAGAGGTTTCACAGTAGCTTACAATTCTTCAGTAAACTGATGTTCTGTTGTGAGTTGTCTCGTGTGTACTTGATGTAAATCAGACTCTTTTTTCCCACCCTAGGTCACCTGCCTTCAGGACTTCTTCGGCGACGAGGACATATTCATCGCGTGTGGACCTGAGAAGTTCCGCTACCAGGACGACTTCCTTCTGGACGAGAGCGGTGAGTGGCATTTGCATGTTTTTCGATCACCTCACTTCTGTGGCAGTAAAGGACTTCTTTGTAAATAGAAGCACACCTGAGCGTTCTCCCTCCATTCTGTTTGGCTTCATTTCAAACAAAAAGACGCCCGTCCTTCCACTTCAAGCATACTTAGAACTCATCAGCGTAGGCTGTGTGTGGGATAAAGCCTCCCTCTACCCGTGTCTGATCTCTTTGTCCCCCCTTTTTTCTTCTCCTATCAGCCTCTTCCTGCCCTCCTCTGCACTCCACACCATCACTTTCAACAAGAGAATGAAAGCCTTGTTCCAATTAGTTCCCAACTCCAAGTCATGTATTGTGCTCATGTGTAGGTCCATTAAGCCGGTCTTCATCTCAACCCACATGTGCTGGGTGAGACTTATTTCTCTGATTAGACACCCCATCAGCTCCGACTCCAGTGACTCTACTGCCGCTCTCCTCTGTTCTTTTTTTGACGGGTCAGGAAATGAGCAGCTGCATGTGGTCTTGGCACGCATCCCTCGGTGAACCCCACACAAGCCCTGTGTATGTGTGTGCGAGTGCAGAGACAAAGCCAGGCTGCCGCTCCTGCTCCTCTCCGCTTCACTAATGGGAACACGCTGATGAGCAGCTGTCCCAGTTTGTGGAAGTGTGTATGGAGTTAGGGGCCTTTTGAAAAGCTGACTTTCAGTGTTTTTCTCTCACAGCTTTCACTGCTGCTCTATCACAGCAAGGTATGTTCGACCTAAAGCTTGAATATTTGTGTGAAAACTACAGGAACCGAAACCATAATTTCCCAAATGTTGGTTCGGCTTGCATCAGGTTTACATTATACGTTCATGGTCTCCTCATGGTCTCCTACTTCTTACACAGAATTTGCACAGAAAACATCACATCTTGCCCAATGAAAACATCTTAAATCTAAAATCTAATCAATACAGACAATTCTACTGAATTAGCTCAAACTGCAGTCCCACAGTAAAAAAACTATTTTAAAAATCAATTATTAGTATTCAGTATTCAGACCTTATGCTCATATTAAGATATGCGTCCCTCTCAGAATCTCAGTGTCTTTATCTTTAATCCGGAATGTATTTGTGACAAAAATATATAAGTATATAATGAGATCACCAGATATTAACCCTCTGTTGCACAGTGTTTCCTCAGGGCAACAAACTCATTTTCCTCACTTTATAATAACGTTATACTTATCGTCACTGTCCAAAGAAAAACATGTATCTCCAAAAATAGCAACTTTACAGGAGAGGGCAAAAACGTTCTTTACTTTTAATGTAAGTTAATGGAAAAAGTTTTTATTCTAAGCAATTTTGGAGCATTTCTATTGATCCAATCATCATGAAATTTTCACACAATGTAAAGCACAGCTGCTGAGCTCAAATGATGCAGAAAAGTAAAAATCGCAAAAAATTGAGATACATGGTTTCATTGGACAGCGACGATATGTAAAGACAACAATAGGGTTAACAATAAATGGAGGAGTTTGAGTAAGTCAATAAAATGCATGTACTTGGTCATACTATCTCTCAGCGGGCACATTTAAACCTTTTTTTAATGGTCAGTATCAATATTTCTGTCATGAGAATTTGCAGAAACATGTTTGTTGCCTAGAAGCAACATTGTGCGACAGTGGAATGGATTTAGCCACAACCGCTTTAGAGAACACAGCTCTATATCATTTCTCACACAGTGTTGCCTCAAGGCAACATACTCCAAAAGGTCCCCTGCACACATTTTTTTATTGTTTTTGAATTTAATATTCGGGTCTGGAAAAAACTGTGCAGTAGGGGGTTAAATTGTGAGATATTTGATATATTTAAGAGTTGTTTATTCTTTCCGAGTGCCTTACCTTTTGTTAGCATAGCTATAGCCCAATGAATTATGCTATATCTATGTAATAACAAGCAGCAGTGCAGTCTGCTGATGATGTTTAGACAAATATCTCCCCATTCTTGCTAGATATGGCTCTAAAGCTAAATACAGATGAGAGGTTTTCCTGGATGCACTTCAAGCGAGTGAGATCATTAGGACTTTACTTGTCTTTAAAAAAGAAACATCTCTTTATATAAAATCGAATAAAAGAGCGAACACAGTGGACTTATTAGCATACGTCACATCGCTACACCGCAGTGATCAGGATTGCTGTTTAGCGGCCTGCTGCCACATGCTGCACCATATGTACTTGCATCGTTTTGGCCACAAAGACATCATTTTGCTTCTAAACATCTTTTTCGTTTGAAATATCCTGCCGTCTAAAGCTCCAACTCAGCCCCCAGTTCTCTTCTCCACAGATCAGGAAAGTGCCAAGTGCCCATCTCTCCTCCACTTTCTTTCATCTCCCCAGCTGTTTGGCTATGCCTCTCTCCCTCTCCTGACTCTGCATCGATATCTGTCTCTTCATCCCAAAGGCCTTTTCGGGATGGTTACACATTTTTCTGAGCTTAACAGCTTCAAAGTTGAGTAGCTGCACTCTCAGCCCTCTCTGTCTCTCTGCCCTCTCCACACTCCAGTGGATGGTGTACCGGCAGGATCACTGCTGTAGAGCTTTCAGAAGCGGTTTGTGAATAGCACGGATGTTCATTGTCCCATCCTCACCTTTCTTCACCTCCAGTCCTCCACTATCCCACGGTCCTCTTCAGCTCAACAAAGTAAAACAAAAGAGTTTGCACTGCACCCTGCACGCTTAATCAAATCAGGGGAGTACATTGTGATCACTCAACCATCTTATCCAGGCCTTCACTCTGACGCCTGCCACAACTCTGTTTCAGTCACTTTTAATAACCGTCAGATGTCATGGTGTGTTAGGAAAATAGAGGAAGTCAATCATAGGGGGAAACCTAATTAAAAAAGCATTAGCATGGGGCCACGTGAACATCTAATGAGCTCTGATGATCAGAAACGCGTGGAACATATGAAGCATGCCGATGGCAAGACTGATGGAGCCAAACAGACAGCCTGCGAAGACCATCATTTCCCTATAGGAATCTTATTTATTACTAGCCACACAACAACCGCTTATAACATGCTGGCACTCGTGTATTATTACATTAAATCTGAAGTTATGAAATTATTTTTCTTTACGAAGCAAAGCACTCCATGCCGGTGATGTGGTGTTTGGATGGGACGGTATGCTGTGCATCCATCCACACTATGGAAAACAGCATTTCCCCTCATACTTTAAACCTAAAGGGTCCACAGTACCTTGCAAAAATCAGAGACCACCCTTTGTTTAATTCATTTGCAGTCTAAAGGGCCATTTAATTACAAGTTATTCATTTTTCAGCATCAGGGAAAAAAGCAGAAACCATGTATTTAACAGAAATGTACACAGAAGCCTCAACAGCTAAATACACTATGTGGCCAAAGTGCTATCAAACCTGTATGAGCTTGTTGGACATCCCATTCCAAAACCATGACGACTGATATGGGGGTGCCCCCCTCCCCGCTTTGCAGCTATAACAGCCCCTACTCTTCTGGGAAGCATTCCACAAGATTTTGGAGTGTGTCTGTGGGAATTTGTGCTCATTTAGTCAAAAAGCAGATTGGTGAGGACGAGGAGGCGTGGCTTGCAGTCAGTGTTCCAATTCATCCTAAAGGTGTTCAGTGGGGGGCACTGGACCACCTCCACACCAAACCATGTCTTCATGGAGCTGCTTTGTGCACATGGGGCTCAGTCATGCTGGAACAGAAAAGGGCCTTCCCCAAACTGCTGCAAAGTTTAAATCATGTGATTATCTAAAATGTCTTTGTATGCGGTATCATTAACATCACCCTTCACTGGAACTAACCCTGAAAAACAGCCCCAGCCCATCATCCCTCCTCCACCAAACTTCACTGTTGGCACTGTGGATTCTGGCAGGTAGTGTCTCCTGGCATCCACCAAACCCAAAATAGTCCATCAGACTTCATCAGATAGTGAAGCATGATTCATCAAATGCTTCCATTTCACAATAATAACACTTACAGTTGTCTGGGGCAGATCTAGCAGGGCAGATATTATATTGATATTATTATTGCTTGATATTATGTACCTGTTAGCAATCACTGTGGCTGAAACTCAACGATTAGGAGAGGTGTCCACATACTTTTGGCCATATAATGTACCTGCATACACGCACCTCCACACTAGTGATCCACAATGCAAACTGCAGGGTATGCGGACCAGCAGCATTGAATATCAGAAGGAGGCCAGGATTCTTTGAGATGTGATCAATGCCTCGCATGTAGCAATGCATTAGGCCTCTTAAAGTCGCCTGTCAGCAGGGGGTTAAAACTGTCTGCAGTTACTTCTGGGAGATGCGGAGTGACTCCGTGCCCTTCAGGCTTTCTCTCCTAATTGACTGTGACATTTGCTGTCTTACACGGTGTCAGAAACTTAATGCGTTCTCATCTGAATTCATTACGTCCCCAAAGTGATTGCTGCAAAAAGCCAAATGGAAAAACAAATCAGATGCAATAAACAAACCAAGAAAAAAAAGTCAGAAAAGTATGATATTTGAATACATTATGAGCAATAATCGGAGATACGGTGTGGTGCGGTTAATGTACTGCATGTAGACCCAGCCTTCACCTTCAGATCCTGCAGGATTAAGAGTCTTATTTAAAACTAATGCTCTTCTGCGGTAGGGACGCAACTCTTTTTGATCAGACTCTGCAGGGTGCGAAGTAAATCTCTTTCTACAAGGTGCTGTTTTTCCTCAAACGAGTGATTAAATGAGTCCCCCAGCTGAAGATTACGTCTGCGCGCTGCAGTCTCACCGTATATTTCTTGAAAACACTTCCAGGGGATTGGACAAATTCAATCAAACTTCCTGGGTCAAGGCAATGTGTGAGCAGCAGCAAAGATGTGCGAGCATTAGCAAAGATCACTTATGATACAGCAGCCACCATAATAACTGGCACCTCAGTAAAGGGGAGAAATAATAGGTAGAAAGAACATGATGTTGCACTGAAAGTACAAGAGAAATCTAACCTTTATAAATCCTAATGAAAAAAATTTAACACATCAGTCACAATTATTGGTACCCCTGTGTTTAGTGCTTTGTGCAACCTCTCTTTGTCAGGATAACAGCACTAAGAGCTCAATGTACTAAGCTTTTTTTGTGCCAGTTTCTGGCTCAGAACAGACACTTTGTGTCTGCCTGTTGTGTATGAAACTGGTCTACATGTATAAACGTGCAGTTTAAGGCTTGTGTTAAAATGGTAACTTTACAGGAGAAGGAAAAACATACTTTACTTTTAATGTAAGTCAGTGGAACCAGAATTTTTAAAGTTATTTTGGGTCATTTAATTTGGTCCATTCATCACGAAATTTACATACAATGTAAAGGGCAACAGGTATTTTCAAATGATGTGAAAAACTGAAAAAGGACAAAAGGTTTTGTTCTGACAACAACGATATTTATATATATTTAGCTTCAGCAACTAGCAACCCTTCCTGGATCGGGGCCTTGCCATGGCGGAAGAGCTTGTGTGGTCTAGGGATCTTCAGAGCTAAGTCGTCTGGAGTAATATGCTCCTGGTAGGGTCTCCCAAGGTGAACAGGTCTGGAGTGAAGACCCTAGACTAGTTCCATCCAAAAATCCTCTATGACAAAGGGACGCAGAAAACCGTGTACCCTGCCCGGGAGAGGGTTACCGGGACCTGCCCCTGGAGCCAGGCCTGGGGGTAGTGTTCCTTGGCGAGCACCTAGTGGCCAGGCAGCCCACGTAACCCAGCCGGGCTCAGCCCGAAAAGGCAATGTGGGGGGACCATGGGGCCCACCACCCGCAAGGTCCAGCATGGGGGAGCGGTGCAGTGCCATATAGGCAGTGGGAGATGGCAGGGAGGCCCTGGGCAGCATAGACCCCTGCGGCAGAAACTGGCTCTTGGTACGTGGAATGTAACCCCACTGGGGAGAAGGAGCTGGAGTTTGTGCGGGAGGTTGAGAGGTACCAACTAGATATAGTTGGGCTCACCTCCACCCACAGTGTCAGCTCTGGAACCAAACTCCTTGATAGGGGTTGGTCCCTCTCTTGCTCAGGAGTTGCACAGGATGAGAGGCGCCGGGCGGGTGTGGGGATGCTCATGAGTCCCCGGCTGTGCATGGATTTTTATCTGCCTTTAGAAACTGGACAGAAAGGGTCTCAAAACACATCTTGTTGCAAGACTTTTTCTAACAATGATAGTAGACATTATGGCTAGACAGAGGAAAGACCCTTATTAGTCCAACAACAGGGAAATTTCATCTCTGCATTTTAACCCATCCGTGCAGTGAAGCACCACATACATACTAGTGAACAGTGAGCACACTTGCCCGGAGCAGTGGGCAGCCATATTTATAACGCCCAGGGAGCAGTTCGGGGTTAGGTGCCTTGGTCAAGGGCACTTCAGTCACGTACTGTCAGCTCGGGGGATTGAACCGGCAACCTTCCGGTCACAAGACTGATTCCCTAACCTCCAGCCCACGACTGCCCCAAAGCCACACACTCTTCTAACTCCCGGGACCAGATATATGTGTGTGTGAGGAGATGAAACACAATATAGAAAACAAACATGTAAAATACAGAAAACATGGAGAGGCTCTTTCAGTTATTACGCTTCTAAACTATGAAACTCAATTCCCCCTTTTATTAGACAGTCAAGCTCAGTGCTCACTTTCAAGAAGCATCTAAAACCGAATCTCTTTAACTCAGCATTTAACTAAAACTGTACGTCTCGTGGTTTTTATCTTCTAATTTGATCTTTTTCATTTTCTTCTGATTCTAAATAAATACTAATGATTTCTTGTATAACTGTGTTTTATCACTTGTCTGTAAAGCACTTTGAGCTGCCACCGGCATGAAAAGTGCTGTATAAATAAAAATGATTATTATTATTATTAATATGATGTGTTGAGGCTGCAATGTTCGCACACAGTCCGTGTTATTGTTTCACCAAGTTTTACACCCATGGAGAATGTTTTGCTGGTGGTGTTCTCTTTTCATCACTTAACTGTCGTTTTGTGTTTTGTCTCAAGCTTTTTGGTGGCTCTATAATTTTGCTGTGACTTTTAAACCCTTTGCTTCACAAGCTCACAGTTAGTAGGTGTTAGCTATACTGCTGTCACATCAGGGACATTTTATGCTCCACCTGTGCTTATAAATACATCTACATGAAGTTAATGTTTCTATTTTCCGATTATTAGAACACTCAGTGTTATAAAAGTACAAAATTGGAAGCAAAAGTTTATTGTTTATAACGTTCTGATGCTCTTAGCCATAAGATAATGATTATAACACACCAGCAACAAGCTGACATACCAGTCACAATACAATAATACAATATGATATGCTGCTGTACAGCTCAATATGTGGTATTGTTACATCATTAGAGAATATGTATTAGGGGATCTGAACATTTAAGAAATGTTTTTCATAAGGATTCATAAGGAAGCCCAAGCCAATAAACAGTAAACAGTCACTTTTTCACACCTTTTTTTGCTTATGTTTGCCAAGAGTGCCAATAATCCCAGGGCGCTTCAGCAGACCTATAGGGATTTGATTAAAAGGCTGCTGTTATATCATCTAAATGAGATGTGACTACATTTTTAAGATGTAAATCTGTTGTGGAAAAACATTGCTTGCCAGATTATCTGTTAATTGCATGTTCTGGCTCTTCTTGTGTAACAGAATGCAGGTTGATGAAATCGTCCTCCTATGGGAAAAGTCTTCTGAGCAGAGGATCTCCCAGGAGTGTGACGCTGGCCAGACGCAGCAAGTCTCCCACTGGATCAGGTAGGATATGAGCATCTGTATGTGTGCTTGTCAGGGTATGCGTGTAGTAATTACATCACATCTATTACGCTAAATTGCTTTTTCATCCACTCACACTTGATTGCAAATATAATCAAATGAATGAGTTACATAACCAAGCGATTTAATAACAAAAAGATTTGGCCAGATATCTTCCCTTGACCGACCAGCCTAAACTCTATTTGGAAATTATGTCACAAACCTTTATACTGTACTGTGCAAAAGTCAGAGACCACACCTTCATTTATCTAATTTCCAGGAAAAACAGCCATGAAGTTATTCATTTGTCAGGATATTTCAGATTAGATTAGATATTAGATAATCCACTTGCACAAAGAAAGAGGAAAAAAAACAGGAATTTGCAAAACTAGAGTTAAAAACATTATTAAGAATGTGGAGACAGTGGTACTCCTAACATCTGTGCAAGACCTGCTAGACCACCAAAACTGCCAGTACTTCAGTTTTTAATCTTAGGAGAAAATTCTGCTCCACTTTTGTCTCAGATCTGAAAACATCCACAGGTGTTTCTGTTCATCCTTCCACTGTGAGAAGACGACTCAATGCTGTGGGTCTGAAAGGATGTGTAGCTGTTAAGAAGTAATTACTGAGAAAAGGAGACGGATGAAAGAAAATGTTCAAATCGAACAAAGAAGCTTTTAAGACTGAACTTTGGAGGTGTGACGTCTCCTGATAATATATTTAGTCGTTGAGGCTTCTGTGTAGTTTTCTGCTTTGATGCTGAAAAATGACTTAGGCCCAATCCCATTTTACCCCTCGCCCCTACCACTTAGCCCTTAGCCCTTCATTTTGCGTGTTTGTTGGTGAAGCGTTGGGGCTACATAGCCCTCCAAACAGGTTTCAGAGAAACACTCCAAACAGAGAGTTTGGATGAATGGATGAATGAGAGACCAAAGAAACCCACAAATGTGAGAATTTTCTCCATTATAAATTACAATAACCATTATATTATCTTAGTTTAATGTGGCTTCAGTGTATTATGGTCGTTTTCTTCATAACAAGCTAAAAATTGCTTATAGTATGCTGGTGTCTTGGTAGCTAGCCAGCTAAATTTCCTGTTCCACCTTAAATAGTCCAACACAAATAGTCCAAACAAATAGTTGCTGAATAGCTGACTTCAGCTTCATATCACTGAAGAATTAAGGGTGGGCGATAATAAATAATTGCCCCCCTCTTTGAAGGCATATGATGCCCTAAATGTAACTAAAGCCCAGCAGTGAGGAGCTGAACTTTACCCTCCTCTGCTGTCACTGCAGACTGGCAGGGTCGCCTACAGAGCAGCGCTGGTAGCTGTTAATGAAGTGATGCTCTTTTTATTTGAGGGTCCCATTTCAGAGGGAAGATTAACCACTACCCTGTGACTCAGTTCCAAGGAGCAAGGTGACATTTGAAAACAAGGGGCAGGGGTAAAATAAGAAATGAGACTGGTTCTTAATGGCAGTTGAATCAAGTAGATGAATCAAGTAGAGTCTCTGACTTTTCACAGACCTCTGAGTCCAGCAGCATGTAGACACCAGTGCCTCCAGTGAAATCAAGAGTAATTAAAAAGGAGTTTGTCCCCTTTTTCTGCAGTAAAGGGAAGGCTTTACACTAGATGTGAGGATTTAATTGTGTTCAGCCACAAAAGCATTAGTGAGATCAGGTACTGATGTTGGATGATTGGTTCTGGATCACAAACAGCACTCCAACTCATCCCAAAGCTATTAAATGGAGCTTCATCACTCAGGGAGCACAGTTCTACTGCTCCACAGCCCAGTGCTGGGGGGCTTTATTGCCCTCTAGCCAACAATTGTCGTTGGACATGGTGACCTTAGGCTGCTCCAGAGTGTTACATTCTATTGGCACTGCTTTTCTATGAAGATTATACAAGCTGTGCAGCTTAATGCAGCTGAATTCACTAATTAGAAGGAATCTGGATACTTTTGCACACCTAAAATGCTACCTGCATGCTGATTTCAGAAGCCAGCCAGGGGTGGCTGCTGATTTCGACTAAGCTAGCTGTAAGATATTTATGTATTCCAAGCATGAACATGGCAGCTGAGAGTTTTTAGCACTGAAGGAGGCAGAGTGTCATTGGCTCATTTTCTCTCTCTGTTTCTTTCTCTCACACACACCAGCCAAACCAGTAGCTTTCTTTAAAATTTTAATATAAAAAGGACGTCTTGCCTTCAAATGATCTGCTGTGGTAAATCACGTTTTCATCGCCCGTTCGTCATTCATGTTTTCCCCTCAAAAGAAATATAGCCTCCTGCAAGATTTGGTTTGGTAATGGAAGCTACTGAACAGAACTGAACTCCACATCAAACTGGAATTCATAAATTTGGCTCACTTTTGAATCGCATTGCTAATCATTGATCCCTGGACAGGATTCCTCTACATCAATATGAGCAACGTTCTAACCAATACGGACATCCTCTCACTGAAAGAAGCAAGAGTTAATGTCTTCTTCAAGCAGGGCCGGCTTCTTGCAGCAGTAGCAGTGCGACCGTACATCGTGACATTGTGATACGCTGTCTAAAATATTTGCATTGTTTGAACACCAAAGTTTGCGAACAGTGAGCACCAGTTAACACCTCACTGCAACACTCCTTTAGCCTCCCAGCTCTGATGTTTCAATAAGTTTTGCAACAGGATTATAGTTTTTATTCAAATTTTGTTCAGTATGGAGAGATATCTGTTCCAAATTAAGGTGCAGTCACTATAGAGGAAAAATGCGAAATGCAGTGCACACACGATACTACTGTCCATCTTATGTATACTTTCAAATGTGACTTTGGTTGAAGTCACAGATCTGTAGGATTATTGTGAGTGTTTTGATATTTACAGTGAGTTTCCAGCACCTTTAACAAGCTGGCTGCAAAAACCAGAAGGAAAAGATGTAGGTAGAGTGCAGTTTTCTGTTTCTGGATAATAATAATAATAATAATAATAATAATAATAATAAAACAATAATAATAATAATGAATTTTACTTGTGATATAAATATGAGTATAATTGGTTGAATAAAGCGTTTGAATAATATTACATTGTCACTGTAATTATTTAATAGAGCATGAAAGAATCCTGATATGAACAAAGTGCCCGAAAGTCCCTTTTTCTATAGTGACATGCGGAATATGTTTCAAAATGGAAAGCCAAACTTCTGTTACCTCGTGTTTCAATGTCGCTCGAACTCTTAACTGAAAAGCAGTACATGAGGAGTTGCATTTAAAAAAGCTTGAGGCTCAAAATGAAGAGTGCCCTTTCTGAAGAGCTCTAAATGCTTAATATGCTGCTGTGCAAAACCCATGTGAAACATAAAACTCTCCTTGGAGTCAAAGTCAAAGTTTATTTATATAGCACTTTTTACAACAGGTGTTGTCACAAAGCAGCTTTACAGAAAAATCCGGGTCTGAGCCCCCATGAGCGTCGCCAATGGAGACAGTGGCAGGAAAAACTCCCTAAGAACAAGAGAAAGAAACACTGAGAGGAACCAAGACTCAAAAGGGGAACCCATCCTCCTCTGGTCGACACCAGATAGCAAACAGCGTTAGTATAAAATATTCGAATACAAAACGGGGAAAAACAGGCGGAGCAACGGTTAATAAGAGTTTGAGTTTATGCAGCAGCAGCAGGAGGGTCAGTTCATGCAGGTGAGGTTTGCACAGCTTTGTACAGCGTGAAGCTCCGCGGTGGTTGAAACTCTGGTGGCTCCCATGTGGCGACTCAGGCAAGCGTTGCTCAGTTGCTCAAATAAAGGGAGTGAGAGAGAGAGAGAGAGAGAGAGAAAGAGAGAGAGAAAGAGAGAGAGAGAGAGAGAGAGAGAGAGAGAGAGAGAGAGAGAGAGAGAGAGGGAGAGAGAAATTGATTAACAGGGCAGGTCCATTTATGGAGAGATATTAAAGAGTAAATAGTGCAAACAACTCAGTTTAGCAAACTGCTTGTGCAAACAGAAAAGTTTTGAGTCTAGTTTTAACTGTAGAGAGTGTGTCTGAGTCCCGAACAGAGGTCGGGAGATGAACCCACAATTTTGGGAAAAAGCTCGACCCCTGCTGTGGTTTTTCTCATTCTAGGAACCGTCAGCAGGCCGTTATGTTGTGAGCGGAGGGCAGGCACAGTTTGGCTGCGTCTGTAATTTTATAAAATGGCTTTAAAACAGAAGCCTGATGGCACCGTGTAGCTGTTTCTCATGGCCACACTTTTTTGTCTGCTGCTTTTGGTTGACATCATGCAGCAACTTTAAACACACAGTAACATTGGCCTAAATTTCACAGTGAGGCTATGAGGTACATCGCTTTAACTCGGCAATAAATGTCATGACAAAACGTTCACATTAGTAACACATAACTTAATGTTATACCCAACTTTGGCCGAAGCTTTACTGACTAGCTAACAGCTGTCATCACAGTTTTGATGCATGGGTCGGCTTTTGGAGTACGTCATTATCCTGTGAACGTTGTGATGTGATGTTTGCACAGTATGCAGAGAAAGGAGCCTGAATCTTTATTTTATTTGTTTTATTTGTTTATTTGACAGGGACAATTCAGATGACCATTGTTACATAGAATGCAACACATGTAATGTATATAGAGCATCTAGCTTAACCTAATTTGCAGCCCCAGTCCCTGGTTATGGTGCCAGGATGTAAATGGTGCACCATTGAAGATGGAATAGAAAATTTGAAGAAGAAGCTTAAACTTAAACTTCGTCACGGTTACCAAAGTCATTACCGGTCGAACAAATTCCCTCCATAATTCCCTCCATAATTCCCTCCTTATCTTGAAAGTCCAAAACCTGACAAAAGAAAGAAAGAAAAAAGAAAAAGCCTGCTGCTGCTACTGGGTTATTTATGTTGCCATGGGTACAATCACTGTAAGGCCTGAATCGTACACAGTCATGGTCAGGCAGAGACGTGGAATCTTTATAGCTTTTACGTCCATTATTTATTTTTCACACACATCTGTAAGATTATTGTGAGCGTTTTG